GGAACAAGAAGCTACTAGAGGCTCCTGGCCTTACTACTAGGAACAAGAAGCTACTAGGAGCAAAGAGCAAAGAACAAGAAGCTACTAGTATGTCTCCGCACCCGACTCTGCGGGCCTTTCAAGCTCCTCGTTCCATGCGGCCTCACCCGTTGGATGGTAGGGATCCTTAGGAACTGTGCTGTTCGACATCTTGAAATTACGTGAAGCAAGCGAAGTCCTTGAAGAAGTGCTCATATAGCATCAGCATCAGCATTCATCAAAACAACTTTAAAATATACTGGTAGCTCCTTTTCCCGCAGATCAAATGGCCTCTTTGAGCCAGTGATCAAATGAGGGCCATGGGGCAGCCAGCTGGCTTTGGTCCTGACCAACGCGAAATCCTCCAAGTCGCTTTGTCGAATAGCTTTGTTGAAGCGAAACCCTTCCCAGAGCGCGCCTTGGTAGGCTTGGCAAACAGCATTCAGCAAGTCGTTCTCATCAGAGAGCACCCGCCCATCCACAAGCACGTATGGAACGCCTCATCTGGGCTAAATGATCAGGATCTAAATTGGTTTGACTTAGAGTGATGAAGCGCTACAATCAGCCCCAATTTGGGTGATGAAACTATGCACCTACTCGAAATGGACCTGGCGAAGTGTGGGTGCCGACAACGGGCCCTGATCTAAATCGTGCCAAATCAAAGGTGCAAAGTCTGAATAATCACGAATGTGGCCACATCATCCAACTTTGATCAAGGTTCGTTGCTACTATAATTGACTTCACCGTGACTACGGTCTACTGATGCGACCTGCCCCCAGCCAACTCAGCTGAGCGCTATCAACAAACATCAACCACACCTGGATGAGGAGGTGTGGCTTTTGCCATGGCTATGACAGCGTCGTCGCCATGTTCTGTGCACCAATTAAGCAGGCTTGAAGAAGCACCACATCTTTCTGCTACCTGAGAAGTTTCCAACGACTGCCCTTTGGATATTCCTATCCTGCAAGAATCAGGATTTGGTACGTTCTACTACTACATCTAACTTGGCAAGTGACCGCTGTAACATCCGCAAAGCTGGATTTGCCATTCTGCAGCTTTCCCATGTAGAAAGCCTTCTCAATACATCGAGAGATCTCCCAATTGCCTCCAAGGACTCACTCTCTTTTTGGGGGTGCGTTCCTCTATGAAAGCACCACCAAACCCATTGAACACATACAACGGTAGTAAATGGCCCATGTGATTTGTCGGCATGTCGCTGAGCCAGCTGCCTGATGGGTCGCGCACTTTCGCACAAGCCTCCAACGTAAGCAGAGAAGTCAAACTCGGCAAATCAGCCAAATTGTTAGAGAATTCCCCATATTCATCTGATGTCAAGTTTTGGAAGTGGCAGCAGTGATACATCCCAAATTGACAGCGCCTCGATGCGGTTCGCAAAGCATTCGACGCTCCCATGTTGGCAGTGCAATTGGCCAGGACCATAACAGTCAGGAAAAGGATCCCCTGGACGTTTGACAAAGCCTACTGAACCTGTCAACACGTCAACCCCATGTACAACTTGAACACTTGTCAAGCTACTGAGAGCAAATATGAAATATATAATATGAAATACAAAGGGAGGGAGGTGGATTTATTCTTGGATTAAGGTTGCTGCCAGCAACGTTGTCAAAGTGTGGAGCAAGTCCTCGGTGTCCTCTACTGTGCAAATGATCATCCAGTACACCACGAACGAAAGAACAAAATGAAGACCGCAAGGCCCCAAGCAAGTTGGAATCTGTCCCCACCATTTCTTCCGGGGGAAACCTGGCAGAACAGCAAAGCATCATCTTCTAGATGACCGGTTCTTGACTGACCGATTTTGAGGCTCTTGAGCTTGTGTTTATTTGGAAGCGAACTGAGTTTCTCTCCGCATGAATATTTTATAAGCAAAAGCATGCCACAGCCAAGGGTGCTCGGGGCTTTGTTGTCAAATGCCGCTAACAGCGGCAAGGTACAAGCACAGGTCATGTGAAGAACCATACTAGAGTACTGTAGAACATTAAATAGAATTGCTTGTCCATGTTGCGATCGAGGCCTATATGTAGTACCGCATTCAGCCTGTGCAAAACCCTTGATTTGTGGTCAACATGCACCGACGCGTGTTACAAGAAAGTAGAATGTGTGGGAGTGTGGGAGAAAAAAAGATGCGAACACGCGGGGGCGACCACTCTTGCAAACAATCCAGTTGCGCTCCTGGATTGTTAAAGGAAACAACCACTCTTAGGAGTGTTGGGAAACAACCACTTTTGCAAACAATCCAGTAAAAAGTTGTTAAAGGCCAACACTCCCAACACTCTTGTTGCTCGTAGAAAAGGGGGGCGACTCTGCAGGCCACTCCTTGGGTAGTGACAGTCTCTGCCGGGTGCCTCCAAGGCCACAATGTTTAAAGTAGCAGCTTCTCGTGGTGCTGCTGTACCGACATGAGGTGCTTGTGCCACAGCCTGAGGATCGCATTGAAACAGCAATGGTTGGGGAATAGCAAACATCTGCCTTTGGAATGAACATCTGTCTCCTCATATGCAAAAATATATATATATATATAATCCTCTTTGCGAAACAAATTGCAGGTGTGATTGTTTTTTGGCGAATCGGTCTTGAAATGACAGCCAATTGCAAGCACAATGGAGTACCGGAGTACCTGCCATACCCCGTCCTGGCGGTGCAGGCACACCTCCGCACTCCTTGGTGATGAAGTATGCATTGCCAAAGGGTGTCCAGTCAACACCTTTGGCGGAAGACTTTGAAAGGGTAAGCCAGCTGCATCCAAGAAGATTCACAACTATATACAATGATATACTTCATTCCTTGATGTGAACTAATACACCCTTGATATCGCTTGATATACTCAGCGAAAAGACAACATACAAATGATTTGGCTTTAATGGTGTAAATTCATGTAAATGTAAATTGCACCTTGCATTTGTCCTTTTTTGCTGAGGAGCTGATGATGTCGGCAACACCCTTGGCCTCATGGCAAAGCTAAGGAGGATGGTCAGGGAGGACGTTTGCAGCCCAGGCCTGCTCAGCTGTTGCCAGTGCTCCAAAAATGAATCCGATGGTGTCTGGGCAGCCGCTTTCCCCAAACAGGGATACGTTCACTGGCGCTGCCCATGATGTCCTGACCACACAAAGCAAGCAAGGGCCAGCCCCACCAAGCAAGGGCCGGCCCCAGTTGCAGCAAGAAGAAACCACAAGGCCTGATTGGTGCCGTGTACGTTATCAGAAAGGGAAGATGCAGCAGAGATCTCATGACTGCGAATCTTGAGCCCAAATGCAAAACATATCAACTGCCAGTGCTTCCTTTTGGTTGAAGTTTGACATAGTTTAACTGTGCTTCAGCTTCTTCCATTTGCAAGCTCAAGAAGCTGTGTGAATGTGTGTTCATCGGATAGGTGCTGCATGGCGCTATGGCAAGATACCCCCATATGCGGCTGTTGTCACTTGGCATTCAAAAGGTGAATTTTGAAGCAAACTTGGCTGTGTCTTGGCATCCCTACCGCATCTTCTCTGAAGGCTGCTTTGAACTTCAGAGGAACAGACACCTGCTTTGGCGAAGCCGATCTTGTTTCCATTTCTTACCTTGTTCTCTGGCAAACGCCACACTCTCATGTCAGGATCGGAATGCTGGGCAAATCTGTCACGAAGCAAGAAAAGCCTCAATTGGATCATTGGTGAAAACGTCTGGCATCATATACTCGGAGACCATGCTGCCATAGATCATCACCCGTTCATGCCCCCAAACTGCACAGTTGGCGTCAACTTGAACACAAAGAGTCCAAGATGAAAAAGCAAAATGCCAAAACAATAGAAACGAGTGAGTGCTTCCGTGGTCGCACCGACGTGAGTGCTTCCGTCATAAGCTGAAAGGATTCAAAGCTGAAAGCGCGCAAAACCCTTGGGCTGTGGCCTGGGTGGAGCTCTCGATGAAGTAAAAGCCTAGCTTGAAGCCTCGGTCAAACGCCTTTTGGGACAAACGCCTAGCTGAAGCTGGTAGGAAAGTGGCTTGACAATCTAAATGTGCCTGCTAACAGAGTAGATCCCAGCCATCTCTGCAGCTGCCCTTCTCTCCTTCAAGGTCAACAGCCAAAAGGGGTTCACTTAGGGAAGGTTGGAAGCTCAGCTGCTACATAGGATCCTTGTGCCACTAAGCGACTAGGTACAATGGCACGATTCAATACCCATAAGCTGGCTGTCCTTGGCCGTGGCCACAATCGTTTTCCTGACACTGTCTTTCGACAGCGTTCTGGTTACAGTAAGTCCATTACCGTACGCCGTACACCAAAATAATGCATTCTCCCCTTGTTTGAGGTAGATACCTATCTTAAGTGGCCTGAAATGGCTGAAGGCTTTAGAAACAACATGTTTGGCTTGTTCTACGGCTCTTTTCAACAGAATTCCAAACTGGGAACCAGCCTCAAAGGAGGAGCTCCAAGCTTCACATCGCTCAACCGCAGTGGCCGTGGTAATCTGCAGACAACAGCAAAGCAAAGACTTAGAAGTGGAATATGAATGCAACCGAATGCACTAATGCCGCAACCCAGTTTGCGCCTACCAGTGATTCTCAGGATGCGCTCGGCTTCCTGAGCACATGTGAGCCCACAAAGTATATTGTATAACCAACAAACAAGCACCTTGGCATGTCACATCCAAGTGTCCATTGGCTGAGTCTCCTGCCTCTGGGCTTTTGGTCTTCTGCCTGTTTTCAGGATCCCATTTGGCCGAGTTGTCGTACTCATAGCGAAGAGCCTTCAAAAAGTATGCGACGTCGAAAAACACCTACAAACACCAGATTATATCGTCGCACCAAAACAAAAAGGGGGCCTGTCGACGCAAATGTCACACGTCCAAGAAGTCCGAGTCTATAAGTCCGAGTCTGTCAGCATCCTTCTGCCCTTTTGCAACTAGCAACTAGGAATGGAGCAGGGCCCATCTCCCGTCTTTTCTCTCGCAACTCTTCCTCGCTTTTCTCCACCGAGAGCCTTGTGATCTCGGCCGCAATAGGCGTTTGCCGGAAAAACTTTGGGCAAAGACCATCAAAAGTCAAAGGTCAAACTACAACGGAATCAAGTGCCTCGCTCGTGGAAATTCATTTTCACAAAGTGATTTTTTGGGGTGTATACTTTCAGCAATTTCAATCTTCTCAGCATAGAAATGTTCGAACACCATGCGATACACACACGCAACTTTAAGCAACCAGAAGGCTCTGCCAGGGACTGAGCTGGCACCTGCATCTGTAATGTCCTTGGCAATTTGTAAGTCACTCGGGTTTATTCTGGCTGATTTTTGTTGTCCCCGAGCAATCCAGAGGCAAAGAAGCTTTAGCGGTAGCCAAGTCTCCTGAATCCCTAGCGATCCATCTTCCAAAGGCCATGTGCGGGCTTGTGAGAAGTCCAGTCGCTTTAGATCAATCTTCCGCCATTGCGAATTTCTATAACCTGGCCAGGCGGACTTCAACATGATTTGCCCATATTATAGGCCAGATATCTTAGATCATGCAGTGTGCGGCTCTTTACTGGAAAGGCTGCCGCCTCGAATCAGCATCACACGGTCCTGACCAGTCTCTCTCCCGCCATTCTGATCGCGCGATTCTTTACCGCATCACCAGTCTCCCATCTTTCTTTCTGGATGTTTGAGTCTAACTTTAATGTTTAGAGCTGGAGGAATGGATACATCGGGCATGACTGACCTAGCCTTTTCAAGTGCGAAGGGTAAGATGTCTTGATTACTAGTTCCAACTGCATTGGGTGTCCTGTGCACTCTTCAGGACAGCGTAGTCTGTAAGCTCTGGTCCATCGCTCTTTTTCTTTGGATCTGCCGCCACTGTACCAAGCCTGACACACTTTGTTCATCTTTGTTACCTGTACCAACTAATGCCATCCGCACATAACATAGACGTACACTCGATTACAACTCGCTGACCCTGTGGTCATATTAATATCTACTGTATCCATCTGTGTCTTGAAGAAAGCGTGTATGTGGTATTGCAGCAGCGTGGCGGTATGAACACATTGTTGAGAAGAGCAGTTCCTTGGGATGCATATCGGCCAAAAGGGAGCAAACAAGTGTCACACAAAACATGCTATGCAGACATACGGTGTAGCTGGCTGGCAAGTTGAAATATACATATATATATATACATATATATAAGTAAAGTATCCCAAAACAGCAGCGTCGTCGAAGCTCTTGGGAGGATTTGTTGTCATGGCATATCCGCGCAAATAGAAAAGTCCTCAGCTTAGCTTGGCGACACTTATGTCTATTGAAGTAAGAAGCAGCTTGTCCAGGCCAGAGCACCCTTTTTCTCCGAGACACTAATAAAGCGGCTGGGAGGAGAGCTGTCTCCAGGGAGACCAAATCTCGAGGCAACAAGGGCAAAGCAGAAAAGGCAGGCAAAAAGAAAGTCAAGGGCCCCTCTAATAAGGCCCCCTTTGGAGGACCCTCACCTTCCTTTTTCAGCGACAGTCACGAGCTTGTCTCAGCTCTGAACAAATTCCATCCATGGCCAACTGGACGTGGGACGATTCCTTGCAGGACCACAATACTTGACAGTATTTGCAAACCAGCAATAAGCTGACTGGCCAAGACCAGCCACAAATTCAAGCCAAATGTCCTATGTCATCGTCCACCTTCACTTGCAGCGGATCATTTTCTACTGGATAGTTGGGGCTGAGGTTGACCTCCAGTGCCGAGTCTGCGTGACAATACTACCGATCAGTTCGCAGGAAATCAGGCATCCTCAGAATCCTGTAGACTGATTGGTAGCTACAGTGACAGGAATGAAAACATAGGCCTTTTGAAGCATTTTGATGCTCCCACGAGCACAGGGCCGTTGCGGCCAAGTCGCATGTGTATTTAAATTTCTCCAGTGCCACTTGATGTCTGGGTCCTTGGCTTGTAATGAATCAGCTGCTTGTCTCCATCTGCATGCAATGAATGACATAGATGATTTCCCGTTGTTCCTGAACGTAAATACAGGATCGTACTGGTGTATTATGGTGTGTTTGCGGTTTTATTCTAGTTCACTGTATCTACATCGTGTCACAGTTTTTGACATACTTGATTGTCGTTTCTGACAAACGATCAAGCATAAAACGTGCTGCAAGTCCCTAGTGCTCCACTCTGTCAGGACACATTGGTCATCACTCCTCAGCGTGTTGATGAGTGGACACATGCAGTTTGATGACATAATAAGCTTTGCATAGCTCTGTAAGACTCAAGTTGTTCTTCACATGTTGAACATGGTTGTGAAAGGAGCAACGCCTATCATGCCAGGACTCGTGGATGGTTCTCCAAAATCATCCGCTTGCCCTGCCAAGGTCGTATGTTCCGCCGCAGCGATGAAACAACCAAGCATTGTCACCATCACCTTCTAGGAGAAACAGGAAACCGAGAACCAACGCTCACCCTCATGTGGCTCTGATACATTTTGGATGGGGCTTTAATTTATGTCTAAGCCATTCTAAGCCTAGGCAAATGGGAAGAGCCAACAAAAGATCCGATGTTCATGATGTCCATCTGCCGCTTTCGCCACTTCTCCTGGAGGTATTCGACGATGATGGACCGGCCAGTAGCATCAGCAATAGCCCAATGCAAGCCTTCTCCATCCAGCGCCTGGCTTACAAAGAAACCAACTTGCCCCAGCTTTTCAAGGCCAAGGAATAGCAAGTCTCTGGTGTCACGGATTCCGTGTCAACCCGTTCTCCCGAATTCCGTGCGATTTGCAGTGATACGCTAGGAGCAAGGACGCTACTAGGGGCTCCACCCCATTGCAAGTGGAAAGGAGCGACGAGCCTGCAGACTTGGAGCCACGACGTTGACAGATTCCAGCATCTCTATCGCACCATCCACACTTGAGCCTCGTCTTCTTTTAAACCCGGGGGGGTAGGCCGCTAGTAGAGGTAGGTAGCTGGTAGTAGGTAGGTAGCTAGTACCTACAAGTAAGCTAGCTACTACTTCGGACGCAGGATAGCTCACGCTTCTTCAAGGAAGCGCTGGCACTTTTCACTTGGTTCCTAGATTCTTAGGGAAACTCGACATCTCTTAGTTTTACTCTGTCTGGATAAGGTTTTCTGCTTTGGGGTGCAAGCACCGTCAGCACCGTCAGCGACTACATCTATATAATATACTCATGTTGGATTTGTACGAGTCCAGCGGCTGAAACTAACAGCAAAAGTTCAGAAATATTCTGATAAAGCCCATGGCACAGTTTGCCAGAAGTGCAGGGATGACGTCTTCAGCACTCAAGTGTTTCCTTGGCATGACCATAAAGACAGGTGCATTGCCAAAGAATGCTTGTTGATCCAAGTCATTAGGAAGAGAATCTTTCCTGGCTCTGGTCTCTCGTATATAGACTCTGTCAAGAGGAGCCCGGAGACTGTCAAGCCCACCTGGCACACGTGAATCTGCAAACCAAGGTGCACTGCAAGGGACATCAAAAACTTCTGATCGAAAACTTCTGGGCTTCGCCTCATTCATGCCCTCAAAGGGAATCTTGAGTTCTAGGCCCGTGGGAGGAAGATGGAAAATGTTCATGGGAGCGAGGTAACCTCGTTCAGAACAGACTGTGCTCGAGAAGTGTCTCTGTGGAAGATGGTCTGTGCAATCGATGCATTTCCAAGCTCTCTAAAGCTAAGCCCATTGGCCAAACTTGTTTTCACTCCCTCGTGGTACAGCTTCAATGCTGTAATTGGTGCTGTCAAACACATTGTTGAGCTCCATGGTCCTGCAGCAGACACACAGTACATACATGTGTATGAACACTAAGGGACATGTATACCCGTACACCAGTTGCATCTCAAGCGTCGGTTTCTGCTCTCCTTGGAATGAGATATGATATTCCTCTACTGTCTTCCCAAGGAATCTCCACATAACTGCACCTACAGGCGGAAGTGTGAGAAGAGAGACTGGAGTGGACCGTTTCAACTGAGAAGCGGGCGCCCAAGAGGCGGGAAGGAAACTCAAAAGCTTCAGCATGGTTCCAGCTCCACAGCTATCAACTCAGCGAAACAAACTAAACGCCTGGTCCTTTGCACAGGCGGTTGAGCTGGAATAAATCTGAAAGCACATGAGTTGGAGATGCTTGAGAAAAGAATATCACCTGAAAGGGCTCTTTCCACAGAAAACCAGGCATGTGCCTTGTCTGATGTTCCTGATGCTGCCTGTCCGGCCTGGCCATTTCAGAGTCACTCTTGTCGTCTACTTCAAGTGTCTCCTGCTTGCTACCAGACTTCGTCACACTGAACATGACAGGCATGAGAACGAGCTGGAGGGCACATCACCAATGAAGCTCGGCTCCCAACAAAGCCTTGGATTTCTCCGCGCTCAATGACCTTTGATCCTTGACTTTGAGGCAAGGGCGTCAGAAGCATGAGCTGGAGGCCCAGGATATACCTGCATCTTGGAAATCCTAAATCCTGTAGCTTGGAGTGTCTTGCAACCCTACTGAGATGGCCTCCAGCCAGCAACGTGTACTCTGCGACCTTGATTTTATTAATAAACCGTGAAAACATGTCGTGAAAATGACTGGCTCAAAAGCATTCGCGCAATGTCAAATGAATAAATCTGACATGTAATTCGTACGAGAGACCTCCATTGCCAAGGGATAGAGTAGAATTGGTCAACAAATGACGAAAGGTAGAGCAGGATAGATTTAGCTACTGCACCTCATGTTGTTTCGGTGCATAGTAGTTGTTCACTAGTTGTTCACCCAGGAATGCAAACGAGCTTTGGGCGTGAAAGGATTGGCGATCGGAGGATGCTGGATACTTTTGCCCTAAATAAGAATGCAAGTGCTAAATTGAAATGTAATTTTTGATTCTCCTGAATGAATTGCAAGTGATGATGCCGCTCCCTCCC